CTCGTCCAAACCCTTGCCCTCGTCGTGTTCCTTCTCCTTTTCCTCCTCCTCCTCCTCCTCCTCCTCCTACTTCCCTCTCCCCCACGCGGCCCCCAGGGATGGCCCGCAGAGGCCCTCCAAGCCCCCCCACCTTTGTCCCAGTGATCTCTCTCTGTTCACCCTGGTTGCCCGCTTTGCTTCACTATACATGTCTCGTCGTCATTTTCCCCGTCAAATATCATGGGCAAGGCTTCTGAATGGGCTGGTGGGGGTTACGGCAAGTTCGCGTCGTGTCGACCCCGGCGTTGGTTCACAACGCGGGGATCGTTCAAACTTGAACGATCGGCAAATCCGTGAACGCCGGATCGTTCAACGACGGGCCGATTCTGGGCCACGGGCGGCGTTCAACCTTAAACGCACGCGCTGGGGTCACCGCCGGTCGGCACGACGCGAACCTGCCGTACGCGAAGCGTGAAGCATCATCCACGGGGTCGCGGCCCAGGACCCGGCCCGCGAGCAGCCCGCGGATGTGGGCATGCCCCCCGCCCGCGATCGCCTCCGCGGCGGGGTTCAGCGCGGGCCTGCCGCGCACCGCTCTGGAAGGAAAGCCCTCGGCGGCGCCGCCTTTCTCCCGCTGGCGGGCAGGGCCCAGAACGCGCGGCGCGGTCGGGCCGGGCCCTCTGAGGGGCGCGGCGCGGGCTCGCTGCTGCCGGTCGGAGGTGCCGTGCGGTCCGCTGGGCGATGCGCTTCCGGGCCGCCACGGGGCCGGATGCCAGCCGCTGCTCCTGCCTGCCCCCGCCTCCGCCTCCGCCTCCGCCTCCTTCTCCTCCTGCTCCTCCTGCTCCTCCTCCTCCTCCAACCCCTCTTTCTCCTCCTCTTCTTCTTTTTCCTCCTCCTCCTCCTCCTTCTCCTCTTCCTTTCCTTCCTCCTCCTCCTCCTCCTTCTCCCCCTCCTCCTCGGAAAGGGAGGGGGCGGCGGGGGAGGAGAGGGAGCGGGAAGGAGGGAAGCGAGCGGGAGGAGGGCGCTGGAGGGGGAGAAGGATGGCGGGGGCAAAAGAAAGAGGAGGGGGCGGTGGAAAGGGGGGGGCGATGAGGACGACAGAGGGGAGGAGGAGGGCTTTCCTCGAAGGCCCACGATGCAGAACGAAAAACAGTGCCGCCCTTAGGCGGGATCAATGGCGGCAGCCTTCGCTGCCGCCTCCTTCTCGCAAGTGCTTGCCGCCAACGCCTGCATGCCAGGCGTGGCGACGAAGCACGAGCGGGAAGCAGTCAATCTGTACTGGTGCGCAAAGGCAACAAAACACACCTCTTGGACGAGGGGTCCTGGTCCTCGTTATCTATCATTGTACACGCAAGTAGATGTCCACAGTCTTCGGCATCCTTAGAATGACTGAGAGCCGTGGGGGTACCTCGACAACCCACAAGTGACAATTTCTGGTCAATGGAGATGACAAAATATCGCGCGCACCTCCACGCCACCCCAGGATCGATCTCACGCAAGTCGTGCCAGCTCGGATCTCTGATGGCAAGGGTCTGAGCACCAAGCGGGAAGCGTCGAAACTCAGCCTTGGGGTAGCATGAGAGCAAAGCATCAAACATCTTTACAAGTTTGGCAATCTGCTTTACACACACACACACACACACACACACACACACATTTAGGGCCTCTAAAGTGTCCTGGGGGGAGGGGCCAGGGTGCAGAGTAGGAGCATGTTTGGCGAGCCTATCAGCATCAACATTTCCCAACGCAGTGCGACGCTCCAAAATCGGCAACGCTAAAATCACCTCCTCAGACCTGTGGGCAGGAGGCAGGAGTGTAGGACGCTGGTCCTAGGAGGTCCTCGGGGTCCCGTTTGAGGGCAAGCCTACGGAAGCCCGCAACTATCTGCTTCGGGTCGAGCTGCTCTCGGCGGCTGGCATTGCGAAGCCTGGCAGCACCGGCGCAGTCGCTGTGGGGGTGGCACGAGACATCCGTGGTCAAACAAATCAGGGAGGCCATACCTAGGTGTTCAGCAGCCTGGGGGGTCTGGAACACTTTCGGCCATACTGCGCCTAGCATGAGTGCCCTGATGTCAGACTCAGGTCCAGGAGCCACGTAGACTGCCCCGAACGCCGCGCGTTAGAGCACTGTAAACACTGGCTGGGGCGCTGAACCGTCAACAACTGACTCACGCGCTCGAATGAGCTCCAACAAATCCGCCACTTCGACTTCCTGTCCGACCGCGTTCTGCAGAATGGGGTCCTGGTGCCGCGGTTGGGGAAGGGGCAACAGGCTGTGGCAGGATATGTCGGGCCCAGAAAAGGCGCTCAGATGGAGAGGCCGACCTGGCAACATCAATCACATCCTGACTGACGGGCTCCAGGCGGCGCTCTGAAACCTGCTCGTGCCTGCGCGACCACTGCAAGTGGAAGAGGGGGTCTGGTTCTCTGCGCAAGTCATGCAATTCCCCACGCACGTAACCACGCTCGACCAGACGATCCCCCGCCCACCAGGCCCCTGGATAGAAAAACTGTGGACATCCAATACTTGTGCCTGGCCGTGAGCTCCTCGGAACGACAAAACCTTGGCGACAGGGTCGGGGCAGACCCAGTTCTCCGCAAAATCTAATAGGCCCACGGGCATCTTACGTTCCAAACTACTAACTGCTTCGCAACCAGGGCAGGGGAGGCGTGCATAAGGTCCGCAGCGAAATCGCGGTCATCTCGCCGCATCGCAAAATCTACCGCGCGCCGCCTGACCCGATGGCAGGTGAAAAGCATCCGATGGAGAGGGCCTTTAGACTTCCGCCACTGGGTCGACCCCAGCTCAGGTGTGGAACTCGAAACAACTCTCCAAATCCGAATGTGGTCCCTGAACGAGAAGTGGCTCGCGTTGGGCTCCGCGATGCTCTGCCGAGGGCTGTTGGACCACTGGAGGGCTGGCGCTGCAGCTCGCCGCCATGCGGGGCCCCCATGTAGCGCACATTTAGCAGTCAGGCTCGCGCCTCGATGGGCAAGAGACTTGCCCGATAAAAATACTGACCGTGGGGGCGCAAGCTTATGATCCGGCACTCCCAACGCCGCGCTGCCAAAACACGCCGCTGGACGCATGCCAGCAACGAACAGCTGTTGATGCGAGTCCGATCCCTCGGTAGCTTCCCCTTGTAATACTGGGGCAGACGGCCGCGCACTCGCATGTCGCGAAATCGCTGCCGACGTCGAGCTCGAAAGCTTGCAGCAGAGAATTGTTGCCGAGGCGCTAGGTCCACGCCGAGAGGCACCGTCGCATCCGTGGCCGTGGAGGGGCACGTGGGAAAAAGACGCCCCTGCAACTTCGCGGCCAGCTGGCTGGAGGTGGCGTGAGACGCCGCCCTGCCCTCGGCCAAACGCACACCTAGCCGCTCCGCAAAGACCCACTCCAAATCTCGAGCTGCCTGGGCGAGGGCTGGAAGGAGAACCTGGTCGGGGCCATCTGCAGATGCCGTGTCGCCATCCACGCGCGACCCAACGCGCGTGCGAAAACGGCCACATGTCAAACTCGAACATCGCGTAAACCTTAACAAAACATCACTATATACATACAGCGCGACGGCCATTCGGGCGGAAAAAAACACGGCGCCATTCAGCGCCACTCAGCGCCAGTCACGCCAGTCAGCGCCACTCAAAGCTACTCCCGAGAGCTATTCAGCCATCGCCACTCAGTGCCAACTCGCGCCGCTCAGCACCACTCAGCACCACTCAGCGCCACACGACGCCAGTCAACGCTACTCGGTGCCACTCGGCGCCGTCAACGCCACTCGCCGCCACCCAACGGCGTTCAACGCTGCAACGCAAGCAGCAAGTGCAAGAGAAGAAGAAGGACGCAATTGAAAACGAGGCGGAGGAGGATGAGGAAGAGGAGGGGGACGAGGGGGCGGGGGAGGATATGAGGAGGGGAAAAGGGAGGTGAACAGAGAAGGAAAAGGCGAAGGCAGCTGAGGGGGATATCCAGCGCGGGAGCTTTCGCGGCTGGCTGCGAGGAGGAGCGCCAATGGAGCGCCCTCACGCCGCGGCCGACGCCGCGGGCGTCGTGCCGGGGCGCGTTAGACGCGCGCAGAAAAGACGAACCTTCTCCGTGGGATCTGTATTTTGCAACAACAAATGATGTGCTTTTGTTCTTCGATTGTACACGACCCCCTAAGACATAGCGGAAAATAGCGGGGACGGGGCTATAATAAACATAATACTCGGGAGGTGCCGCAAATATTACCACAAGCGCAGATCCCACGGGAAGTTCCTCTGAAAAGCGCAACGAAGTGAAGTGGGCAATCGGAACTTCCATCGCCTTCGTTCTGCGCCTTGTTCTCTCGCGCCTCTGATCCCCCCTCCTCCTCCTCCTCCACCTCCTCCTCCCCCTCCCTTTTCCTCCTCCTCCTCGCCGTCTTCCCGGGGCCTTCGCCTCCCCCCCCGCGATCGCTGCTTGTGGCGCGGAATAAATGGCGACATATCGTTCTACCAGCGAAGAGCCACCGCGCTCGCTAAGGCCCGCGGCGGAGGCCTCATCAGACCCCGCCTTTCTGGGCGCCTGACCCAGCCACAAAACGCGCGGCCAGGGCCGCGGGGAACAAAAAGAACGCACCGAATAGCGCGGCCAAGGCCGCGGGGGGGGGGGGGGGGAACATAAACGACAGATTATGCCTCGCGTCGCGCGTCAGCGCGAGCCGAGCGGGGCGAAAAGGGGCGCTAGATGCGACATGCCCTGGTCGGGCTCATTGGCAGCCCGCGCAAGCATGGCGATCGTCGCCAGGCGCTGGCCCAGCAGAGGGTCGCGATCTGCCATCGTCGGCAGGTTGTCCTTGTTGAAGTGCGCGTAGTTGTAGCGGAGGAACATGACCGTGCTCAGGACACGGAACCAGCGGAGCGACACGCCCCGCGCTGCTGAAGGCATCATGTCCTCGAGGCAAGAGACCACAGGCGCTCCACTGGGACAGTTCCAGATTGGACGGGGACGCCAGCCTTCCGCGCGGCGAGCGCAACGCCCCGCCAGTTCATCAGGCCCTCGACCTTGACACGGCGGCGCGCACCCTGCGGAAGTGGTCGCGCACCTTTTTCGCAATGACGCTGCGCGCGCCCTGGACAACCTCGGCCTGCCGCTGGTCGCGCGCGATGCCGGAGCGCCGCCGCCGCTGTCGGCTGTCGGCGCCCTGGCCGGCACTGGCGCTGCGCGCGCGTCAGCTCGGCCTTGAAGGCCTTGGCGGTGCGATAGTTGCTGCGCGGGGCGGAGCTGTCCAGCTGGGCGCCGCACAGGCAAGCGACTCGGGCCAGCGCGCCCCTGGGCGGCCGCGATCCAACTAAGCGCTTCCGCGTGGCGGCCTTTTCCGCAGCAAGGCTGGGCAAGGGGGAAAGTCCGGGCGCGCCGCGCGTTGACTGGGCCCAGCGCCGCCTCCTGCCAGAACGTCGGGGGGAGCTGGCCCGCGGACTTCTCGAGGATCTCCGCCTCCTGCTCCAGGTCACGCGGCGGGGCCGCGCCGTCGTCCCTCGGCGGGGGGCAAGCGGCCGACAGGCGGGCGATGGCATCCGCATAATCTGCCAGGAAGATCTCGGCGTCGTCGGCGATGCACGGGAGGAGGCGCCTGACCTCGAAGAAGCAATGCGCGGGCTCGCCGGTGACGACCGCGCCCGGCCCTTGCGCGGCCGCCGCAGAACACTCCCGAGCCTTGCCTTTGGGCGTCTCGGGGTGCGCCCGAAAGCGCAGGGATGGAAACTTACTCTGGTAGAGCGACTGCAGTAATTTCCGGTGCTTCTCGCACGCGTCCGTCGAGTGGCTAGCGCGCGCCATTGCCTGCGGCGGCAAACCCGCGCTGGAGCGATTGGCAGCCATCGCGTCGAGCAGATAGCCCATGTCGGCCTTGAGGTCTGGCCAGTCCCCCGTCTTCATCGCGACCGCGGGTTTCAAGAGGGCGCCGTCGATGCCTGTCCACGCGTGGACATTCGTGAAAGGCCGCGCGCGGCGGGGCCGGCGGGGCGCGCCGTCGCCGTCGACTGTCTGCCTCATGCGCGACCGCGGGCGCCACCCTTGACTCGCCCCCTTTGCCTCCCCCACCCCCGCCAATTGGAAAGCAGCGGTCAAGGCTAGCGCCCCCAGTCGTGTCCTGGATGATGGTGGCCAACTTCTCGTTGCCGTCGCCCTTCACCGCGGCGCCAGAATGCACGTGGATATCCTGCTGCACGCGCGCTTACTCTCTGGGCAAGTAGTTCGCGAGCGCAAGGCACATGCACAACCGAAGCTCGCGATTCCCAGGAATCGCCTCGAGGAACCAGAAGCTCCGGGCGCCGCCGACGAGCGCGAGGGCATTATTCGTGTAGAACTCGAACAACAAAGAGCGCCTGACCGCGCGTAGGTTCAGGGCCTCCATGAACTTCTGCAAGACCATCATCAGGAAGGGCCTTGCAAGATAGAAACCGCAGGTTCGAAGGGCGCCGCGGGTCCGCGCAACGGAGCGCCGATGGGCAGGCGTCCATGGCGCCGCCCGGCCCGACCGAGAAAGAAGCTTCGTTATGGTCGCAATGCCACCTCCGCACCTCGAACTGCCGGGGCAAGGGCGCGCCCAAGACATGCAAAAGCTTGGTTTCGGACTCCTGCCGGGGGCGCAACCGGGGCGATCTCCTCCACGTGGAGGCAACGCCCCCCCGCCGACCACGAGTGGCGGGGGGCGTCAGATAGGGCCCTAGCTCCCGCAGCCAGATCGCGAAGCACGTCGGCCGAGGCGTCAGCGGCCGCCGCACCAGCGATCTCCTCCTGCCCCGTCAGGGCGCGGCCAACGCAGAAGTGAAGCCGGCCTCGTCGTAGACCGCTGCCGCGCGAGGTCAGGGCGAAGGCGCTGCCGCCAGCGTCCCCGAGGTCCGCCAGGCGGCGCTGCTGCGCTGAGTAGCGGGAAGCGGTCATGTCGTCGCCGTCGCCCTTGGCCAGGCAGAGAGCACTCGAAACTATGCGAGGCAT